CGTTCCAAAACTCTTCCACTGTTTGAAACCGATTATAAAATCTTGACTCTTACACCCTCCATAAAACTCAATGTTGGAATAAAAAAAGATGAAATAGAGATTCATACAGCTTTTAAATTCATTATTGAAAATAACTGGGAGAATTGGCACTATATATATAGTGATGCTTCTAAACATACCAATAATAGTTGTGTTGGGGTTGGAGTATTTCATTCTCAGTATAATATTGTACAAAAAATTAAATTACCTCCTGAATCATCAGTATTTACTGGGGAATGTTTTGGTCTATTTCGCGCAGTAGAATATATATTATTAACAAACTTATGTAAAGCTATAATTTTTACGGACTCTCTAAGTTCTTTACAAACATTAGCACATTTTCCGCTTAAATCAAAATGCCAATATCCTATAATTTTAGAAATAAGAAAATTGTTATACAAATGCCAAGTTTAAAAACATTACAGTAGTTTTTGCATGGATTCCCGGGCATAGCGGCATTAAAGGAAATGAAAAGGCAGACGAGTTAGCAAATGAAGCCGTGTTAAGCGGTGATATATATCCTTACACTAATTATTGTCACGATCTTCTTTCCTTGTCGAAGCGATATTTGAAAGAGTCCTGGGAACATTACTGGACATCTCCTAGCCTAGTGAAAGGAAAATTCTACTCCTCAATTCAACCGACAATTCCAAATAAGCCTTGGTACACTCAAGTCAATTTAAATAAATATTGTACTAGTTCTTTAATTCGTTTGCGATTAGGTCACTGCTGTTCTCCGTCTTTTCTGTTTAAGATTCATGTTGTAGATACTTCTTTATGTGCTTGTGGAACGGAAGAAGGAAATTTGAACCATATTTTCCTTTCTTGCCCATTATATGACCGCTCCTCTCTTTTTACTGATCTTCTATTGCTCCGGATACCTTTTCCTATTAATATACCATTCCTTTTAGCATATAACGACCCTTGTGTATATAAAACATTAGCTTCATTTATTCAGAAAAATGCTATAAAACTATAGTATAATTTGGTTAATAGGTTTATATATATAAATGTATGCGTATGTATGTGTGTATATATGGGTATATATATATATATATATATATATATATATATATATATATATATATATACATATATATGTGTGTATATATGTATATATATTATGTGTATTTGTGTAAATACGATATTAATAAAACTAAATATTCTGTAATTAATAATACTTTATCACATTGAATATATGTATCGTAAATCTTCTTGATTATTTTCCTTTTTCCAAATTCCGCTTCCTAGTCCTGTTGAAATAAATTTATATTTCAACAAAACCACTGTTTCCTTCCTTTTACTTGTCATTGGCATAAAGGATAACAAAATGCCACAATAAAAAGAAAAAAAAAAAAAAAAAAAAACACAAATTGATAGGTTTTTCTTAATTGCACATTTTTATATAGCAAGAAGCCTTATCTGATTAAGATTAAAAGTGAGTTTTTCTTTAATTTGTTTATTAAAATTACGAAGATTTTCCTTTTTACATACGAAATATTCACCTTTCATAAAATTTTTATTTTTTGTTTAAATTAAAAAATAATCATATTTCTGGCCGTGGAAGAGTCAAATTTAATAATTAAATAATAATTATTATTTCATTATTAAATTTGACTCTTCCACGTGCTTCGCCAGAACACTCGCTATGTCGCCCCTGAGTGTTGCTTCACCCACTCGGCCTTCGCTCCGCTACGGATCTCGGCGGCTCGACCTCCGGCGCGAGGTTCTGGCTCCGCCTTTTTATGTTCACTCTAGGGGTAGGGACCACAAGACGACATGGAGTCGGGGTGCTCTGTGTCGGATCTTTGACACATTATTTAAAAAAAAAAATTCGATTTTACAATCGATACGAGTATGACGTCACTCGCTACCTATATTTATCATGTTGGCTGTACGTACTAAATATTTTAAATTTCTAATAATAAATTGTTTTATAATCGATACGAGTATGACATCGCCCGCTTCCTATATTTATCATATTGGAAATACTGTATATTGAGTTTTTGAAGTCCACTTAGTAAAATGGCAGACTCTCTCTATCTCTAACTGTGAGTGAGCAGATAATTCTGCGTGTTGATTATTTCATTAGTAATTTTTCTCTACGGAAAAAAGTTTTTTGTTAGCTCGAAAATCAAACTGTGGTAATGGAAATTAATACCAAAAATTTTACATAAAAATTAATACGTTCGTAAGTTACCACACTAACTAACTATATAACAAAAATAATAAGAAATAAATGTGTAACTATATTTATATATAGAGCCGTGGTAGCTCAGTCTCCGGGCGATTGCCTTTAATTTAATATACTAGAGCAATCTGAGCTCGATCCCCGGTGCCGGTACCAATGAACTTGTTAATTTTAAGTGCTCAGCGGTGAAGGAAAACATCGTGAGGATACCTGCATATTTATGAAATAATAAAAAAATATTTCAAAGATATGATGCGAAGTTCGCCAATCCGCAGTGGGGCCGCGTAGTGGACTATCCCCTAATACCTTCTGTAAAGAGGACGCCTTTTCCCAGCAGTGGGATAATTTCTTCCAATAGGTTTTCCTGAAATTACTATATTTTTAACATGTTGAAAAAATAATGCTATTTTTTATTCAAAAAAAGTTACAACCCGTATGACACTGATGAGACAGTTTTTGTTCGACTCCAAATTTAATTTTATTCGTGATTTTTTATAGAATAACTAAAATATTATTAATGTCAGTCGGTGTCTTTTTTTAAGTTTAAAAATTAATTGTTTATACAACTTTTATCGTATATTTTAGTAAAATAGGTTTTTCAAACGTAATCGTGTTTTTCTTCTAGGCCCAAATATACCGTCGCGTGATAGAAAACGATAAATCCCCGAGCGAAGCACAGATGCCTTATTTATAAATGCACGTTTTTAGTTTTTCGAATAGAGATCTTTTATTTTATTCCATGACAGAAATCCATAGTTTAATTGCAAACATTTGGTAAAAAAATACCTTCGGATTTCGATTAGAAGTGATCTTCTAAAAACAGTGACGATACAGATGAAGCATAATAACATTTTTGAGACATCTACACGGTGGTAGAGCCTCGCAGCAGGCTCGGCTGTTGCACGAATGGGCAGGCTCGTCCGGGTAAGTACCACGACCTCACAGAAGATCGGCGTAAAGTGGAAGTATGACAAATACTTTCGCGTTTCGTCTGGTGAGTGAGGTAGCCGGAGCCCAATTTCCAAAAAGGTTGTCAACGCATTTGCAAACCCTCTGGTGTAGCAGATGTCTATGGGCGGCGGTATTCACTTAACATCAGGTGAACCGTCTGCTCGTTTGGCAACTTTTCACATAAAAAAAAAAACATCAATTTTGTAACGTTGTTTGTTAGATATTAAAGGAAAAACTAAGTCAATTTCTAATGCGACTACAATGTCGGTAGCCCTTCAAGGTAAATATATGTACCAAAAAGATTTTGTTCCATATTGTTAGGCACATAATCCTAAAATGAGGAAAGTCTACTTCATTTTTATTTTCTTTGATGCAAGTCTTGTGACGTAATCTATATGGGTTCAATGATCGTTTGTACCTTTTGATTAAATATCTTTACAATCTTATCGATTCGAAATAACAGGAAGATTATTTAAGGTAATCTTGAACGAATAAAGTGCAGAAAAAAATATCCCTGAAAGCAAACAGTAATTGAAAATCATTTAAAATTAAGTATATTTATATATTTCAATAAAAGACATATTTATTAGTATAGAGGTTAAAAAAACATATTGAAATTTTAATTCCGGCAAAATTTATAAATAGAATGTGGAATAAACAATTGGTAGCATAACAAACACACAAATTAGGTTTTACCTTACACTTTAGACATGAGAAACGGGAGCTCTAATTTACGATGGAGTCACAAAGGTAGAATATAGCTACACTAAGTATATGCTTAAATTTAAAGTATTTTTAAAGGTATAATTATGTTCACATTAATATTTCTTTGACTAGGAGAAGAGCATTTATAACATGCTAATGGGTAAAACATATAAATATATATGAAATAAAAATTTAACATTTCAAGAGTTATTATTTTTTAAAAAAACTATTTCACGGAACTTTTCTCATTAAACTTGACTGTTTATTCATTCTAGGAGAGTCCATCCCTTTACTACGGACAAGTTTCGACAAGTCTTGAAAATAAAAAAGTCCGTATAATAGTTTAAGTAACTACACAAAAACTTATTTCCAAACACAATCGGAGGCAGGTACTTTGTTTGTATTTTCGTAATTACAGGGAACCTTGCAGATTCTACTTTCCCGCGTTCAACAAATTGGCAACACCTCGACACCTTTAGTTTTCAAAGGTGAACGAAGTAGATATTCTGCTAGTCCGTTGATCACGCGGGAAAAAGTAGCAAAGGTGTTCTTGAAAAAGGGCCGATCTTTTCTTTCTTCTCATTTGTTATTTCTTAAGATGGGGTTTCTGACTCTCTCGTGTCTGAACATGTCGACGTCGACAAAACGTATAAGCGATACAAACGGACGAAGATCCCACCGACCCGTGTATGTCGGCCGAGCTGGGAAGTTCGTCCGGGCGTAGCACTTGATACTGATTTTCTTTCTTCTTTGGCCTCTTTGACTGATTTAACTGCAGCCTCATGATTTCTCTTCTTCTTAAACTTACGTCTTGAATAGCTCGTCGTAAACAAAAATTCTACTACTACCTAACTACTAACAAACATTAAGTATTAAAAAAACGATCATTAAATAAGTCAACACAATTTCAGCAATGGGACTGAATCTCATCAAAATATTCTAGTAAAAAGGTAACATTTTATGAAAATTTCTCCGTTTTTTCATTATAACTGGTAAGGTATTAACATTAACAAATACTGAAATAAATTAAAATGCCATAATATATGAAGCAAAGACAAAACTGCGATTAATTCACCTGCAACGTAGATCTGTTAGCAATAATTAACGCGTCTTGATGGTGGCGAGCGCGGCGCTGCCTTCCGACGACCTTCGGCCGGCGCGAGTGAGCGAGCGAGCGAGCAGCGGGGAGCGCGGCGCCCGCGTCGGCGGTGAACGAACTCACCTTGACAAATGCACCATTTGGCATTGTTCGCGGGAAAACCGGCGGCCTTGCGCGCCACCGACCGCCGCGCCGCCTAGCCGCCGCCTCGCCGCGCCGGCCAATCACGCGCCTTCGCGCCACAGCCTGCGCCCGTTTTGGCGGGAACCACTCGGCCGAATGTTGACCGCTTGGCGCGCGGCGCGCCGCCACATCGCTTCGTTTTCAGCGCTCCCTTTCAAAGCGACCTCAACGCATGCGGGCTGAAACGTGCGTCGGTTCACATTATACATCGACTTGTTTAGACTTGCCTTCCAGGTGCTATTGACAGGTTTGGTTACGGCTTTATACTCAGACATCTAACATTTGTCTCATTCGTCTAGCAGAGGGAATATTTACTAATAAAGCTACAACGATTATTCGAAATGTAATTACGCCATCTAGGTTGTAATTTTTATCGGCATTACTACTTAATTACTACTACTTAGTAATTTTATCCTTAAAAACATAGTGGATCTTTTCGTAGCGCTTAGTGTTCGCTATTGACGTGTACTAATTATTCACTTTATTACCAAAATGGCGGATGCAACTTGAGATGTGACGTCGACGTTGCTAGCAATCGTGCGCCGCCGCCTAATAACTACTTCGTGGAAATTCGATATGGCGCGAAATCTATTTATCGACGAATAAACACTCTAATTAGATATTTTCAAAAACATTATTTTCTATATTAAAAGAAATGCATATCTTCTCATTTGAATCATCAACGTTTAAATATATTCGGTCATTTATGTACCGTATGTATAATAATTTGAGTTTTTGATATTAACATGAAATTAAAAACTACTTTTTGACGAAGCAAAGGCGTTATACAGTTGAAATTATCCATTAGTGGTTAACCAAATAGGACAGGCACATCAAAATAATTCGACTTTTTTGTGTAGTTGGAAATTCATATTCAAGCTGCTAGAAACGTAATTTATGGACTCTTTTGTTAATTCCATAATAATCTCTAAGAGGGAAGGGCACAGCTGCTGACAATTTCGTGAAATCGCTAAAGGAAAAACAACATAATTATAAAATTCTCAACTTATTTCCGTATCTCACGCATTCGCAAACATTTCGTTAATTGCATTCCCTTGGTTAATATATTAGCATTATATATTAACCAAGCGAATGTTATATTGCTCATGGAAAAAATCGTCAACAAAAGATAAAACCAGTAATAGGCAGTACTGAATGCAATAATTAGAATGTTCTCTACGCCTTTTATTTTAACACTGGATGAAGGCGGTGTCTAAAAACTGATGCAAATAGTCACCCACGTCCGTTCCGGGTATTTTGTGCTCATTAATAATACAGGATAATGCGTCAAAATAACATAGGTACGACACATTTTTCGTTTTTTAACATTTAAATAGTTGTTAGTTGATATCAATAATCAAATGTATAACTGTTAAACTTTATGGTAAGAAGAAAATGTTTTCCATTAGAAAAAACGATATTACAAAATAGGGCTGTATCAGTAGCTATGCAAATAATTGAGATATACCAACACAGGAATATATTTTTAACCGACTTAAAAAAAAGGAGGAGGTTTCTCAATTCGACCGTATATATTTTTATTTTTTTATGTGTGTTCGGGGATAACTTCGTTATTCATGAACCGATTTTGATGATTCTTTTTTTGTTGGAAAGGAGATATCCCAAGGGTGGTACCATGATAAGGAAACCCAGATCTGATGATGGCATCCCAGAAATATCGAGGGCAATCCTCAAATGTTATAGGAGTTGACAATGTTGTTTTACTTTCCTGTTTGAAGTCGGGTTTTTTTTTTGTTCAAAATTATAAAATGTGGAGATAACATGTTATTCTGAACGCAGACCTCGGACCGCTCATTATTCCTGCTGTTCTTTTTTCAGCAAAGGTTTTTGTCCGGCTGCATTAATCATAAAACACGCATCAGTCACGGACCGTTCATCCTAATACGGTGAATCGGCAACAATAATACACGACTTTAGATTATATTCCTCTATATGTTCGATAAACCGATAATGACAATTAAATAAATCTCATCTCATTCAAATCACTATTATGTTGAGAATGTCCGTGACGTAATGATAGTTTTTGCAGAGTTCATTGCGTTATGTAACGTCGTTATTTAACATTACTAGATTTACTTTTTATAACTAGTTTCAATATGGGATTAATAATAGTTGACGTAACTCGAAAAAGATTAAAATAATTAAGTTTCTTCTACTGCAGCGCTCGCCTCTCTTCGTGTGACTCATGTCTTCTTAATGCCGGACGGACCTGCTATACGACTTTCCTGGGAAGGCCTAAAACGTTTTGTTGCTAAACGGAAAACGTTCACCAAACTATAACGCATGACATTATTTTCGTTTTTTTTCCTTATTTTCATGTATCGACTGATGAATTGGTAATAATATAATTTTTTACTGTGCTAAAAATCATATAGCTTCTTCTGTTAAGCGAATGGTCATAACTACACAAGGAATTACCACGGCCTCAAAGAACACCGTCGTAAAGTCGAAGTATTTCAACCTCATTTTAATTAAGTCCACTTTCGAAAGTTTTGGTAAATTACCAAAAAAATTACCTCCACATTGTGCTAAGAGCGGTGGTTACATTTCCCGAAATATGGAACGTTAATATAATACGCTTATAATCGGCAACTGTTGTTTAGCTCCTAAAAAAATATCGCTGCAGGGTAATAAATGCTTCAACAAGCATTGGCCGTGTAGCTTCAGCGAGGTTTGCGCCGGCGCAGGACGTGAGTCAGGTGTCGTTAACCCGAACGATGCTACGCGTCATCACAAGTTCAGCCCGCCATTATATTTGACGCCATTTTTTATTGCGTCTCTACATTCTCGATTCTGGATTTTCTCAATATTTGCACCCGAATTAGGCTTGATCGATGCATATGTATGTACAGAATGTTCAAGGAGGAAATTTCCACTATCAACGTGCACTTATTTTGTCCGCGTGGACATAAGTTGATTCGGGCACGTGGATAATATTTGTGCGATACAATTTCATGTTATCTGTTACATATAATGCACAGACTTCCTCCGTTCAGAGTAATAATATAAGACATATATCTGCCACGCTATTTTGTTAGCTTTATATGCCTTAGTAACATTTTATTTCTTAAATATGTATATATGGTTCCCGTGACTCTGGTTCTTTCATCATATAGAGTATTTTATTTGGACGAAGGAAGAGGTTTTTAGTCAAAATGATTATTATAATGAAATGAAATTATGAATGGAAATTTTCAGTTAAGTTGAGGAGCTATAGGTTGGAAAATTGAAAACCGCTTATCCATTTAAATAATATCGATCAAAGATGAAATTGTAATGTCAGCCGATATTTATAAAGTTGTATTAGGAACGCGGTAAATACTTGGTGAAGGTTGGTGTAAAAACATCGCCGTAAAAGGTTCGAAATTAATCTAAACCAGGGTTACTTTATTCGTGTTCAACGCAGCGTAACTCATTTCGGTAAAAGAGAGAAATGAACTAGTAAAAAATATAATAGTGCCTTGGAAGAACCGTGTCAGTTCACGACTAATAAAATATGTTGTAGTATAAAAAAAAACTTAAAACTAGAAAAAAAACCCGTTCAATAAAGAAAACAAAAAAGTGTAAACGTGTATTTTATATTATTAAATTAACGCGTTTATTTTAAACTTTAACTTTTCGTAATATAGGTACTTTGTAGCATTCATCATGGAAAAATGATAAAATTCGTAAAAATAGTCTCATGTAACAAAATCTTTTATAATAATCATAATTATGTAAACGTATAACATAGCGACCGGGATACTGTAAAGATTCCTTTTTTAATGCTCCATTTACAGCGAGCGTTTCGTTTTCAAAAAGACAATACTTCCCTTTTTAATACATATGTATGAGTTTGAAGAATTAATTATTATTTGGTGGTGACCATCGACGGTGGCGTTTGATTATTAATGAATATTTATCGAACGGTCGCATCCGGACATGACTCAGGGCGGGCTAGGCCGATGTGAGTCGTCATTTGTTCGCGAATAAATAACACTTTAGTGGCAACGCGCATAGCTGAGATAGGCTTTTGTGACACCGGGGACTTTATATATATTTAATATACCTTTAAATTTGAAATAGGATCCTAAAAAAAACTCATAAAAGGTGCGAAGCTTAAAGTTTTTATAGTAGCAACAAAATGCGATTTGATCTGAAGTAATCATCGTTTTTACGTTTCCGTTTCCAATAGGTAAATCGAGAACCTATTAATAAATGATTAAATTAAATTGTCTGAAAGTCAGGCTAAAGTAGGCTGCATCTCATGAACCGTGATAGTTAAGAGTTGAATTTTTACAGATGATGTATTTCTGTTGCCGTTATAACAATAATTACTAAAAACAGAATAAAAAAATATGTAAGTGGGGCTCCCGTAAAACAGATATGATTTTTTTGCCGATAATGGTACGGAACCCTTCGTGCGCGAGTTCGATTCGCACTTGGTCGATTTTTTTTATTTTGTGCCATCAGCTAAATATATGAAAAATATATAGTTAAATATTCACTACAGGACATTCCACACTCATTAATCGATTATACTATCGAAAGTAATTCCTTCTCTCCGTATGTCTCTTCGATTTATTGTATTACTAGCGACCCGCTCCGGCTTCGCACGGGTGCAATGCTGAATGTTTGTTTTCGACATCGCAATAGAAACCTCTAAAATTATCAGTAATTGTCTATTATATTATGCATGAAGTATACATATAAACCTTCCTCTTGAATCGCTCTATTAAAGAAAACCGCATCAAAATCCGTTGCGTAGTTTTAAAGATCTAAGCATATATATGGACAGACAGACAGCGGGACGACTTTGTTTTATACTATGTAGTGATGTTGTTTATAGTATTTCTTTGGTAAAGCTGAACGTTGACGACGTCCACACATACTAAATCACGTTTCTCGGTGTTAAATAATTCAGGACGAGGGAGCAATTGTATTGGGTGCAATGTTATATAACAAAAAAGTATTTTTAAGTGTTACGCTTCCAAATTTTCTAAGAAGTCGACTTCCTACATCATAAAGAAACATCGGGAGCGACTGCCCGCGTTCTTCCGCCCGCCGGAGCCGCCCATTCCAATTCGGGGCGCGTCGCGCGTCGACGTGCAATCGAATCGAGACATTTGACACGCTCCCCGAGGCGGAGATCTTTCGAGAAGTTGCTTTTTTAATTTTTA